GCTTCCCCGTTGCAGCCCCAGCTTCCCCGTTGCAGCCCCAGCTTCCCCGTTGCAGCCCCAGCTTCCCTGTTGCAGCCCCAGGCCCCCATTTGTCCCTGTCTACTCGCGGGTCTTTCTTTTTTGCGCGACCCTGACCACTCTTCCAGGGCAAGGGCTGGCTCTGAGTCCCCGGGTCCAGGGCCTGGCACAGAGCTCGCACTGGTGAGGGGCGAATGCAGGAAGGAGAGGAGCAGGGGTGGCCCGCAGGGAACCCGGGGAAAGGGAGTGGGAGGCGGCTGTGCCTCTGGGTGTGCAGTGCTTCCCTGGAGAGGGAGCCTGGGTCTGAGAAGCAAGGTCAGCAGCACTGCCGTGGCTAGGACATGCACCACAGGGCAAGGGACACTGTCCTTGGAGTCAGACAGGCCTAGGTTGAGTCGTGTCTCCACTACCTACCTACTAGTGACTCTGGAAAAGTCATAGCACCTTTTTGAGCCCCAATTCCTCATCTGTAAAAACAGGACCAATAAAGAAAGGGCGGGGGAGCTGATAACCACCAGCCTCCCACCCTCCAGCCTGGGCACCAGCAAATGCTCACAGATGCCTGCTCGGCACCTAGCCACAGGCAGAGAGGCGCAGACCCTGCAAGCCCACAAGGTGTTTCCAGCCTGGTGGGGCAGACAATGCAGCGTGAGCCCGGCAGGCAGCCCAGAGAAGCTCAACCCACCAGGGTGATCATGGCCTCCGTGTCTGCCTCGCTCATCGCTAGGAGTTATCAAGAGCAGACCCGAGCACCCCCATCCCCACACCCCATCCTGGCCTCTGGGGGCCCTGGCAGGGCAGGCTCAGGCCTGGCGTTCCCAAGCAGGGTGTTGGTGTCGATCGTTACCGGATGAGGTCCAGCAGGGCATCAGCCGAGCTCATGACGGGCTTCCCGCTCTGCTCCGCGGTCTCCTTCTGGGCCGCGCTGCCAGGGTGGATGACGGAGACCATGAAGATGCCCACGACGACGGCCATGAAGGTGGTCCACAGGTAGTACGCCACAGTGAGGATGCCCAGGCGGCTGGAGGTCTTGGGGTCCAGGGAGGCGAGGCCGGACATCAAGCTGGGAGAGTGAGGGGTCAGGGGCTGTGGTGGGGAAGCTGGGGTCTGGCCAGGCACTCAGAACTCAGCCCCTCCTGGCCATGCCCGGCTGCCTTACAGTGCTCCAGGGAACCCCGTGTCCCCAATAATCCAGTCCTGTGCTCCTTTTAGCCTTTCCTGCTCTGCCCTCTCCCCATGCCCCGGGGCACAGAGGTGGGGGTGGTTATGTGGGTGGGATCTGTACCTTGAGGCCTCTGTGCCTGCCATTTCCCATGCTTGGTGTCCTCTCAGAAGCTTCCTTCACTCGCCTGACCCTTGCCCACTAGGCAGGACCAAGCTTGGGCCACCTCTGGGGTGTACCTGCCTTTCCCCCAGCACGAGGAGCCCATTCCAGGGTTTCCACAGCCCCTAGTTGCTCCATCAGGACCCTGCCTGTCTGTTGGTGAGAGGAGGGGTGGGTCTGACTTCCCTGTGAGTTCCTAGCAGATGATACTGCAGGTGGTTCCTGCAGGTTCCCGTATGAGCTTGTGAGGGAGTGAGTGACAGCACTGGGCTGCAGGCTGGTGACCCGGGTTCCAGCTCTGCCAACCGGCTGTGTGACCTCAGGCAAGCAAGTCACTCCCCCGTCTTTGGGCCTCAGGATCTCCATCTGTAAAATGGGGCCATCTTGGGTTCACACCTGGGCCCAGACTCTCCATCGTGGGAGGCTGTGTTGAGAGGGCTTGTGGGTCTCTCTCCTCTCGGTTTCTCCCCACCTCCAGCCACCCTGGCCTGGGTTCTCTGCCCACCAGTGCAGGTCAGCCCCGGAGCCCTGGAAGCCCAGAGCGCCTCTTCTTGCAGCTGTTGTCGGGGGTGTGGGATGGTGAGGGGTGTGGGGGGAGTGAGAGATTAATTAAGGAAATGCCTGTGCTTTGCTTTGTTGCCAAAAGGATTTTTCCCCAAAGCCCTTTCATTTTTTCAGATAAAGAAGTATTGGTCTGGTTTTAATCATGTAAACAAGAGCAGATAATCCCCAGCCACGCTCCTCTTATCATTAGACCACGCAGCAGCATCCAGGCCCCTTCCCTGGTGGGAGCCACCGCCTGTGAGGGCCCTGCCCTGCCTGCTCGCTGGCACAATGGCTTACTCTTCCGGTAAGACACAGTTTGAGTGTCCCTTCCTCCAGGAAGCCTTCTCTGACCACCAGGCTGAGTGAAGCCTCCTTCTCTCGTGCCACAGTCCCTGTGCCTCCCGTTGTCTCTGTCCCCACCTCACTGGACTGCAGACTCTTTGCTGGAAGCACCTCCAGGGTTGGGCCAGGTTCTGATTCAATACCAGGTCCACAGTTTGGTAGCAGTCTGCTGAGTGAAGGAGTGAATGAATGAATGAATGAATGAGTGTTTACAATCTCTGTTCATCCTCATCTGCCAGGATGCCATATGTTAGTGATGGGCTTAGGGTGGGTCTTAGACATAAATCCTGAAGGGCTCATAATGGGATTGTGCAGCCAGAGGAAATGGGGGCTGCCCTGCAATCATCCAAGACAGAGATGATCCCAGGCAGGGCTGGCACATCAGCGCAGGGCCAAACAGTCCTCCCACCACCACAGAACCCCCCACAGTGGGGTCCAGCCACCTCAGGCCACGGGAAGGCCATACCCCCCAAGAACAGGCCCTGCTTGAGGTCACACAGGACAGCAGAGCCCGGCTGGACCAGAACTTAGGGCCTGACTCCAGGCCTGTCCTCCTTCATTGATGTGTATTCAAACCTTTCGCAAATGCCTACTCCGTGCCATGCCCTGTGCCCACAGGAAGAAATCAGAACCTGTCCTTGATGTCAAGGACCTCCCAGTCTGCCAGGAGGTGGGGAGGGACACGGAAAGGGTGCTGGGCCACAAGCACACTCAAGTGGCCCCTGGACTAGGTGGGAGCATCAGGACCCCAAGGGAAGGGGGGACAAGGAAATGCTGTCTTTATTCAGAGAAGGGGGAGTCACTTCTAGCTAGGAAAGTCAGGAAGGACTCCCTGGAGGAGGTGGCATTTGAGCTGGCTCTTGCAAATGAGAGAGGATTTGGAGATGGAGCAGACATGTCCCCAGTGTGACAGCGGAAGGCAGAAGGGAGGCTGGAAAGTGTGAGGACACCGTGCTATTCAATATGGTCAGGGCTCAGGTAATGTCTGTGGATTGGTGATAGATTGGCGATGGAAGGGACAGAGAAGATAGACTGAGCTCAGGAGTAGGGTGGCCTTCAGTGCCAGGTCGGGGGACTGGGGAGCCACCGGGCCTAGCGGCGCTTTAGCACAACTCAGGCAGCTGAATTTGCTGGAGGTCTAGAAGGGAGAACTAACAATTCCTTAGATTTGAGAAGATAAAAGTAAACACAGTGTCCTGGGCGGGTCACTGAAGTGGTATTTGTAAGATCAAAAACCCAGGGCCAACCTAAGAAATCACCAATGTAGTTTAGATAGAAAGGGATGGCAGAGCAGGCATCAGGAGTGATCGCGTCCCTGCAAGGTGTTCCTAATTCAATGCTAAGTGGAAAAGCAAGTTGCCAGATGGCTTGCGTCCCTGCAGTGAGCCCTGGCCTCTCCTGGGATGGAGGCCCGCTCTGGATCTATGGTAGAGGCACACAGACATGTCTGAGGGACTGCGTGGAGTGGGGTGCACATGAAGACCGGATTTCAGAAAAGGATAAAGCCCCCTAAGAAGGCCCCCCTGGGGAAGAAGAGTCCTAACATCAGGGTGGCGCCAAAGCAGGGGCAGACTGAGATGTGGGAGGGAGTGTAGATTCTAGAAAGAGTGAGAAGGACCCCTGAGATTCTAGAAAGAGCGAGAGGGACCCTGACCCCACCCCGGGGCCCCCATCGGCTCTGTATAGGAGAGCACCCATGGACAAACTGGAGAGAATCCTGGAACCCACGTTGTTCTGTGCTGGCGCCTCCTCCCTGCCTCCACGAAGATGGTGGAAGGGAGACGTAAGCAGCCACGGGAACTGGTGTGACAGCTGGCAGCGCAGGCCCGTCTCCCTGGAGTGCCAGGGCCACCGCAGGAGAAGGTGGAGGCTGAGAAGAATGGGAGCCAGGTATGCAGAAGGCATGGCTTCCACGCGGAGCTCACAGGCACAGAAAGGAGGTGTAAGGCCTTGCCCTTTGGCTTTCTGAGGGGTTCCTCCCTGCTGGGGCTCCTGGAGGTCCCACACTTCAGGGCCAAGCTGTTAAAGTGACTTTTATGAGAACTTACAGCTGTGGCCCAGTGGTGGTCGGGAGACCAGGTCACACAGACAAGCACAGAAGCAAGCAAACTCTATAGGAAGTTTACCTGTTATCTTTGGGTGTTATGGGTAATTTTTTTTGAGATGGAGTTTTACTCTTGTTGCCCAGGCTGGAGTGCAATGGTGTGATCAGCTCACCGCAACCTGAACCTCCCAGGTTCAAGCGATTCTCCTGCCTCAGCCTCCCGAGTAGCTGGGATTACAGGCATGTGCCACCACACCCGGCTAATTTTGTATTTTTAGTAAAGATGGGTTTCTCCATGTTGGTCAGGCTAGTCTCGAACTTCCGACCTCAGGGGATCTGCCTGCCTAGGCCTCCCAAAGTGCTGGGATTACAAGCATGGGCCACTGAGCCCAGCTCTGTTTTGTTTGTAACAGTCCTTCACATTGTTCTTTCTAGATTGAGCCTGTCTTCTTGTGTGTTGGAGAACACAGCTCCTGGAGGACCTGGTCGCCTCAGAAGCCGTCATCTCTCTGGGATTTTACTGTTCCCCAGACACCTGAACACCCAGCTCACTGGATCTTTAAACAACTTTCTGAGTGCAGCACTGTGGAGTTCCACTGCAAGCCACATTTATAATTTAGAATTTTCTAGTAGTCACGTTAAAAAATTAAAAACAAACAGGTAAAATTAGTTTTTTGGTGAAATTAAGTTTAATACTTTATTTAACCCAGTTTATCCCAAATATTATCATTTCAATGTGTATCAGTATAACAGTTTTTAGGCCATGTGCAGTGGCTCACGCCTGAATCCCAGCACTTTGGGAGGCCAAGGTGGGCGGATCACCTGAGGTCAGGGGTTCAAGACTAGCCTGACCAACATGCAGAAACCCTGTCTTTACTAAAAATACAAAATTAGCCAGGTGTATCTCTACTAAAAATACTAAAAACTAGCAGGGTGTGGTGGCACATGCCTGTAATTCCAGCTACTCGGGAGGCTGAGGCAGGAGAATCGATTGAACCTGGGAGGCAGAGGTCGCAGTGAGCCAAGACCGCACCACTGCACTCCAGCCTGGATGACAAGAGCGAAACTCTGTCTCAAAAAAAAAAAAAAAAGTATACTGCTTCAGGTTTTAAATTTTAACCTAAATTAATTAAATAAAATTAAAAGTTGAGCTCCTCAGTTGCACTGCCCGCATCTCGAGTCTCAGTCGCCCTGCTCTGACTCGTGGCTGTTGTATTGGACAGCCCAATACCACAGATCTTCGTTACAGGCAGGGAAAATGGAGCACGGGGCGGCAGAGGCAACTGGCCAGGCCCCCAGCTGGTGAATCATAGCGTCAAGATTGGAACAGGAATTTCCGATTCAGAACCTTATGGGTTCCCCGCTCCCACAGTGCCTCTCTGGGGTACAGACCTGGTTTAACTCTGGTGGGGGAAAGGATCTGGTTTGTGCTGTGAGTTTATTTTTTATTACTTGTTTGAGACAGGGTTTCACTCTGTTGCCCAGGCTGGGGCTCAGGGGCACGATCACTGCTCACTGCAGACTTGACCTCCCAGGCTCAAATGATTCCCCCACCTCAGCCTCCCAAGTAGCTGGGACTACCGGCACTCAACACCATGCCTGGCTAATTGTTTAAAATTTTTTTAGTAGAGATGGGGTCTCTTGATGTTACCCAACTGAGCCACCCTTCCCAGCTGGCTATGATTTTAAGATGATCCAGTCCACGTAAAGCCTTTTTAGTTCAATCTTGGAGTTCACAGCCTGCCCGTGGTAACGGGCCTCAGATTTGTGGTGGTGAGCTTCCCATCATTGGCGGCATCCAAGTGGA